CCTGGATATCATTCCATTCCTTTGTTCCAGTCCTGAATTTCCTCTCACCAAATCGTTCTCATTTCTAATGCTTGTATACTTTTCATTAACCTGCTTTCAAAGAAAAATATTTTGCCATTACCACAAAAACTGTAATTCTAGGTGTAGAATCTGTTCCAAGATTATGATTTTTTTCTTGTTAAATACGTGAATGAATTAATTCAAAAGCTTTGGAAGACCTGTGTAGACTTTTTGAGGCCCGATATCTAGCTAAATTCTCTTTTACAGCTATGCCCTGTTCTTGTGCAGACTAAGCAAACTGTAAGCCTCACAAATATGCAAAACACAGTATTTAGGTAGTATCATAATAAGAATATAATGGGACAAATTAAGTTTTTGTTTCTACATTATTTTATCTAAGCTACTAAGAAAATCTGATGCTACGGCAGCAGTCAGTTCCTGAAGTACCTTATAAGCACCAACTCTCCCAACTGCTGTGTTGTTATCTGAATGGATTACTCCTTTTATCAGTTTTTCTTTTTCCCCTTTAGAGGACTTTGGACATTGATGCTCCATTGATAATTATTAAGATGAAATTTGGATTATTAATGGATTATTAATCCATATAATACTGTATTTTCCTAACCATTAGTTTAGAATGCATGCATGATTTTATTCCCTAAACCAATAGATGTATCTATCATCAAATGAAAAAGCTTAAGTCAGAGTAAATAAACTAACTCAGAGTGTTAGAATAAAATAAAACATACCTTTAAAAGAAATGTATTGGTTTCAATATACAGACTCAGCAATTCAGGGGTCTAATATATTTATGGAGAAAAGATTCTATCTTCTGAAATTTCACTTAGGGAATAGTAAGTCCTAAATAGGAAAGCCCAGATATATAGTTTATTCTTATTTAAAAACTGTTATGCAAAAATTTAACATGGATAAGAATATTGGTCATGCTAATTCAAGGTGATGAAGAAAGACTAGCTGACAGTTGCAGTTGCTTTTAAACCCACAACTTCCTCCAATTAAACTTCCTTTAAAGGAAAAAAAAAACATAGAAGCTAAGTGGAACATATTCTGATAAGGCAACTGCCAGATAGAATTTTACGTGTCAAGTTCACAGCTTTTACCAAAACCGACACACAAAGCAGTGAAGTAACGTCTAAATTCATGTAGTTAAACCAAGACTTGAGACTCCAATTTCTATATTTTTTTCTTAAAAACCATAAAAGTGAAATTCTGTCAAAATATCCATATCACATGGTTCATAACAGTGTGAACACTACTGAACTGTGCACTTAAAAATGGTTAAGAGAGTAAACTTTATGTTATGTATATTATAGCACAATTTTTTTAAAACCAGAAAAATATCTACATTATGAAAAAATACAGTTTAAATCATTACAATTTCTATTTATGTGAATTTCTACTAAAATAAGAGAATTTAACTAGTTATTAAAATAAGACAATATTACAATAAAATCTCTGAATTATTTAACACTTGTTCAGAATGTAATAAAACTGGTTTATAAAATTTTCATATTTCTCCTCCCTTTCCTAGTTTCGGAAATAAAAATGCAAATAGCATAAAAATGAAATAGAGTAACTTAACTATTAAGTTAGCCCAAATCCACTGTGGAATGAGGGGAAAACTAACTAGGCTACTGCTTATTGTACTTCAATGTCAACAATAAAAATAAGCTGTGTGGTAGCTATTGCAAGTATTCATAAAGATTCTAGCTCTTTTCCTTCTTGGTTAGATGAGTAAAACTAGGCATGGCCATGGGACTTGCTCTGGGCCAAGAAATGAGAGTGGAAGAGATAGTATCACTTCCAGGCAGAAGCTTTAAGAGCCAAAACATGCTTCACCATATTCTTTTTCTGTCTGCTTCAGTGACTGGTAATATTGTAAAGACTGGCTGTTCCTCAGCCAGGATTCTGGAATAAAACTGATAATGAAAAGGAAGAGAGTTCCAGCAAATCCACAAAGAACATACAGCATAAGTAAAAATAAACTGTTGCTCTTTTAAGTCTTTCAGATTTTGAGTATTCTGTTACCACAGCATAACACCAGACTATCCTGATACAGATATAAAAACTGCATGCAAGGCAGCTGTGTAAAGAAAAGAATGGATTTCTACAAATGAGAGAGATGGAAGGATGGGCAGGAAGTGACAGGCTTCTATCCCTCCCCTGCCTGGGGCAGCTGCTCCAACAGAAGGCTTCCATCAGAGTATTGATTACAGGGTATTAGGAAAAGTCATGAATGACAGAGAGCTCAGGGTGAGGGGCAGAATAAGCCTTGCCACCATAGGCAGGTTGCTAGAGCTGGGGGAAAGCCTCTACTATGCCTTCCCCTCCCAACCTGTAACCAGGTGCTGAGGAAAAGTAGGCTCCTCCCAAATGCCACCTCTCTCCTTCTTGCCATTTGAGGAAATCTGAACTTTAGTCTTGAGAGAATATAACAAGGTTCCTCCATGAAGCATCAGGCCCATTTCTTAGCATGCAAGTACAAAAGCTGCCATACAAGTTTGTAGCCATCCTAGGGGATTTCATCCAAAGAAGATATTCAAGGACCAAGTTACTCATACTACAGTTTCTTGTTTCTTGTTGTCCTAATAAAGGCCGAGGAGAAGCTCAACTTTGAACAGAATCAACTAGTTTCTGCTGGTGAGGTGGGTAAAGTGTATTACAGAACTCAAAACTGGGAACTCCATGAGTTCATTTCATTTGTAACTTTTAGGATCACCTCATACAATTGTACAGGCTGTGGCCTGAATAACAGCACCCAACCAAGGAGGGGAGTGGTGGGCTCTGAAGCTGCATCCACCAAGAAGGGCTACTTTTTTGTATTTCACACAAAGGTGCCTTCTGTTTGTCAAGATATGTGCCAACAGGTACCTTAGAGACTAGCTTACTGTTCCTTATCCACATTTATCAGAATTTCTTGGAGACCATCCTTAGGGGTACTATAGAGGAGACTTACTATGTACCAGACAATCATGGGACTGACCACTCTGGAACTCCTTGAGGTATGATCCTTCCTGAAGATTACCATGATAACCTGCAGTGTATGTTTGTGAACTTGGACCACATATTGCCACATTCCTGTGTCTCAATGAGGAATATGGGCATGCCACTGGAGAATATTCTTCTACTAGAATTCCACATCCTGGAAGAAACCCTTCAGTGGATGGTGGTTTAAGAGAACTTCTACAGCACTACACCAATCAAATGACACCACTCTGATGTGCTAGAGCACAGGTTTTCTTAACTTTGACACTTGATATTTTGGACCAGACAATTCTTTGTTATGGAATGGGGGGCTGTCTTGAGATTTGTAACATATTTGACAGTAGCCCTGGTTTTATCTACTAGATGCCATTAGCACTGCTCGCCCACCCCCAACTCCCAACTGTATAAAAAAATGTCTCCAGACATTGTCAAATGCCTTCTGGTGGGTAAAAATGCACCAGGTTGACAACAACTCTGCTAGATCTACACTTCCATTTCCAGTATGAGACTAACGGCAAGAAGATATGTACTGGGACTAAGATGCCCACCACTATTTCCACCAGCCCTATGGCATTTGAGGCTGATGGAGGGCTCCCCTTGAGATCCCACTGGCAAACAGACAAAGAAACTCTGCCCAGCAAGTTGAGATAGCCTTACTCCCATCAGGCAGAAAAGAATGAACCTTGACTTTTTGCTTGCTTTTCCTCCCCTATCTCATCCCTCCCTCCTTCCATTAACCCCTCCTTCTACTTCTCCTAGAAGTAGAACCATGATTCCAAGCCACTTAGATGATTTATCTTCCCAGACAAGATGTAGCCCAATAGCAAACTTTGCTACTGACCCCCTGCCAGCTCTGGCCTGGCATACAATGTAGACATGCCCTGACGTTGGCCAGAAAAGTCTGGATTGCTATATTCCCAACAGCCTCTTTAGCTTGCCTACTTTAGAAAGCCACTGTGGGCAGAAGCCCAGGCTCACAAACAGACTGATCAGTTTATACAACCTGAATGGATTGATATTTATCAAAACGGGGACATGGCCTGATCTTGGACATGGATTGGGCAGTCTAATGCCTGCCTGCCCCCAGGCATGGCCTGACACTAACTCCACTGCATTTAGATACTAGCTAGACTTCTTAACCTTAACACACAAACACACATCAAAAACATATCTCATAAGCAATGGGGGAGGGGGGACTATATTCCTTACTCATAGTTCATGCCAAAGTAAGTTCCATATGAATCAAAGTTTAAGCATAAAAATGCAGCTATTAAGAGCACTATAAAAAAATATGGGAGAACGTTTAATAAAATTGGAGTGAAAATGGTCTTTCCAATCAAAGCGCAAAACTCAGGTCATGTGAGAGATTTCTTTGATCAAGTCGTTCCACGTCTACAAATTTATCTTACAGATATACTTGCGTAAGGGACAAAGAAATATATGTAACATCACAGAGCATAATGAACAGCAGGCTGAAAATGATATGTGTCCACTTATATCAAATCCAGTCCTGGATATATCAAATGTCCAGTCAATTGATGAAGTCTGACTGAATAAAATATGGCATTTCGATACAATGAAATATCATGCAGTTATGAAAATGACTAAAGAAGATTTAAATATACCAATATGAAACGACCTATCAGACATATTGCTAAGTGAACACAAGTTACAGAAAGAATATGTAATGCCTTCCTTTTTATGCAAATAAAATAGCTATATGGAGAGATTTTTGCTTATGTATACAGACTGTAAGTATTTCTAGAAGGACACAAAAGAAATGTATGTGGGTGCCTCTGGAGAGGAAGATGGGTCTGGAAAGGAAGGAAACTTGATTTTTATCGTATATGCTTTGAAGTTTTTGAATTAGTTTTTAGATTGTGCATAAAATCCATCACGGAAAAATGAAATTAAAGAATAAAATTCAAAGGAAAATTTCAAAAAAGAATAGCAAATAACATATATATATATAAAATAACTGAGAAAATTCTTACCTTTCTCTGCAAAATTTAAGTGAATGTAGTATGGCAGGTCTCTTTTGACGTAAATTCCATAAGTGTAAGGTGTCATCAGCCAAGGCACTCACAAGAGCTCCCTTAAAAATAAAGTGTAATATATTTTATATAGAATACATTTACAAACATTAATGCTACTAAAGAGCTACCGAAAAAATCTTCCCAAATTTCAAAACTCTCTGCCAATAGATTTAGTTCTGAGAAACATTTGCCTCACCCAAATTCTAAACAGCAGATGTAAAAGAGTGTATTATGTGTATACGTATGTATAAAAATTGTTTCAACTTCAACAATTTAAAGTATAATTTAACCTTATTAACTAAAAGTGTACTAGGATCTAGTTGGATATATAGTTGATAACTAGCTATGTAAAATTAGGAGTCAGACTATAAGTTACTTGGTCCCTATAGTTCATTCTTCCTTGACTATATGATATGAAGTAACCTTCCCATTTTATTTGGCTTAAGACAAATCCTTATGAATATATGATATGAAGTAACCTTCCCATTTTATTTGCCTTAAGACAAATCCTTATGAATCCTTATGAATGTACTCTGTTTGGATCATAATTCTACTACTAGAATGATATGGAAAACAAAAATAGCATTCAGCACTGTATAATTTCAATGTCCAAAGGGCTGAAAAATCTGACTAATTTAGAAAGTTAAAACAGCTGATACTATTAAATACTATTAAGTCTGGAGAAGAAAACCTTTGGCAGTATGTGAGAATCATGCAGGGGGCTCAGTCTCACCCCAGACCTGACAAACCAGAAATTTCAGAGCAAGGACCATTGCAGGTGTATTTTTAAGAAATCTCCAGAGGTGATTCTGATGTGTGAATAGGATTAAGAATCTATAGGCTAAGGCTGATTTATTAAGACATATGAATGTTTTTCCTCAAAAGAGGAAGATACTCCTTATCTACACTGAGAGAATAAGACAAAAGACTCAACACGAAGAACTTTAATTTCAAAAAAAGATTTGCAATTCCAGTCCTTTAGGTTATTATGAGAAATCTTAAAATTTCCCTGTTTTAAAATAGGAGAGTTTCTCATTTATCTGAGAGAACTAAAATAGCTCTGAAGACAAGATTTACATTAAACGATCTCTCCAAGTGCTTTCCAATTTGAAATTCTATGAGGGCTCCTCTACTGTGTAACTCCTATTGCTACAACATGACTATTGGAAAACAGAAATACAGGAAGCCCACATACTCTTCCTTTCACTAGAAAGCATCCTCTTATCTCTATCACTTTGAAGCAGAGAAACTAAAAGGATTCAGAGTATCAAAGCTTTGTACTCTTCATTCTTACTTCCAGCAGTTTCAGACCAGGTCATCTTCTTTCTCAAGGTGTTTGCCCCATCTTTGTATTTCAAGGAAGAAGAGAAGATGTGGGGCCAAAATGGCAATCACAGCTGACCGCCTGCGGTGGCTCACTTACCTACATGTGCTTTTCCAAAATTGAAAGCAAACAGCTACTCCCAGTTGTCAGATTCCCATAGCCATCACCATGTAAATATTCATATTCTGCTAAGCATTTTTTTAAAACTGTCATTTTTAAGTACTTAAAAATGTAACATTTAAGCATGTAAAATAACAGTCATAGCAAAGAACTTTATGATAAATTCTATAGAAAAGCAGCTTGTGTTATGAATAATGAGAGCATCAACTAGTTAAGATTTCTAAAATTTAGGCATATAAGTAATCTATTTGCAATGCGTTATTTACATTGGCTCATACTGCTTAAAAAAAAATAATCTCAACACAAGTATAAAGATGGAGAATAGGTTAGTGGTTGCCAGGGATTAGGGACTGAGAGCAGGAGGGGGTGCAATTAATTATAAAGGGGTAGCCTGAGGGCATGACTTCAGGGTGATGGGACCGATCTGTAATCTTGTTCCTGCTGGTCATTACATGAAATGTATGCAGGGAATAAAACTGCATGAAACTCTGCACACATACACAAAATGAGTGCATGTAGAAACTGGTGGTGAAATGTAAATAAGGTCTGTAGTCTAGTTAAGAGTATTGTATTGATGTCTTTCTCTTGGTTTAATATTTTACTATTGTTACATAAAATGTTACTATTGGGGGAAATGGGGGAAGGGTACATAGGACCTCTCTATTCTGAAACTAACTGCCAGTCTAATTATTTCATAATAAAATTTGTTTTTGAAAAAGGAAAAATAATCTCACATATGGATTCAACAACTTTCTACACTGTGATATTTTTATGTGTATTTTAACATTTTACGATGCCTATTATTCAGCCCTACACAGAATACTGAAGTTTTTAAACACTTCCTCTGATCCTGAAAAACCTACACGATTGCATATCATTTGGATCACAGTTTTACTAAAATTTTTAAATTACCCTCTTTAACTCTTTACATCAATACTGCCTCTCTTAAATCCTCTGATATGAAGAAAAGATTTATCAAAAGCCGAAAGTATCGAGTATTTTTTTCTCTCTCATATACATCTAGAAATTTATTCCATGAAACCCAGGGACTTAGGGGCAAAAAGAATGCCCACAGACTATCCTCACATCTAAGTATAGCAGAATCTTTTCTAGAGTAATTTTTCTTCTAGCTTTTCTAGCTTCTAGCTTTTCCTTCTAGCTTTTTTCCTTCTAGCTTCTCCTGCCTGTCACTACTTGCAGTAAACATCTACTGTCAGAGCTGCTCATACTTTTTTAAGACATGCAAACACATTGTTTACTCTGCTAATAAAATGTATCTCTAGCTCCTTCCAAACTTTACACTCTATCAGAAAGAAAGGCATCAATTACTTCAACCAATAAGTGACACAACAAGAACTTTGGACAATAACCAGTTTCTAACGGGCTTCGGTTTCCTGGATGTATTTCAAAACAACCCACTGGAGAAATACAATTTGTTATTTATAATAAGGTCAATCTTTGAAAAAACTTTAATGTAGATTTTTATATGTTACATAACTTTCAATACTCTTGAAATAAAATTTAAATGCAGCACACTGTACCAAAAAGATCTACCTTATGCCATTCTATTTTCAATACTGTTTCGAGAAACATCTTACATTATTTATGTAACTGTCTGTGATGATGCCTTAAAGTGAATTACTATTAGCTCTGACCTACAAGAAATTCATTTTTGTTCAAATATTTAAATATAATTGCATGCAAGAATTCTGAAAGATGGGATGTGGCCCTATTTCATACATAAGCTGGTGAGATGAAAGCAATTCACTAACCTCATTAATCAGGAACTGGAGCTGGATTACTGCAGCTCCACTGTCATGCTGGCAATAACATTCTACTCCTGGACGACCAAAGCTGTCATTAATTTCATTAAGGAGTTTATGGTATGTGTGAGCTTTTTTATAGCAATTGATAAGTTATATAATAGACTCAAATATGACCTGATACAGGCTATTTACTAAGGTTGAGATTTAGAGTTAGGTGATTACACAGCAATCTAATCAGCTAGTTCCTGTTGATAATCAGAATTTTCAGAGATTTCAGGTCTAACAGAAATAACACAACTGTCCCTTCTAGAAAAAAACAATTAAAAATAGCAATATACAGAACCAAGCTACATGTATTTAATATACTTTACTCTGGCCCAAGTCTTTTTCTTTCCCTTAGAGTAAAAAGAAGAGAAAAGGGAGTTGATCTGTAGTGCTTCCAATTTTGCTGAAGAAACAAATCTGAAAAGTAGACAAATGTCATTTTAGAATATTGCTTTTAGGTACAATCTTCTTACTGGCATCTTTCATTCCTGTAGTGTCATTTTTAAACAGTGTAAGCTAAAAATATAATTGTGGCAGGTTATATCACCAATGAATGTATCAATGTTTTACAATACGCTTGAACACAGATTAATATGTAAATATCCATTAATTTGCATATAACAGGAAACGTACAGCATTTTCTATATGTTAAGCATTATAGTAAACTTGTCATATATATTAATTCATTTCATCCTCACAACCATGAAGAATATGTAATTTCCCCCATGTAAACAGATAAGAAAACTGAAGCACAGAGAAATTAACTTGTCCCAAGTCATACAACTAGAAAGTATAGCAGAAATTGAATTTGAATAAGCATTCTAGCTCCAGAGTCTATACTCTTAATTGGTAAGTTATGCTGAGTAAAAAAACAAAAACAAAAAACTCCAAACACTTATAGAACTTACTACATGTCAGGTATTGTTATACGCTTTTTACCTTCATAAACTTGAGATAAGTTAGCCATTTTAACACACTGCTACACTAATATTTTCACTAGTTAATATTAACTGAAAATAAAAAGTTAAATCTAAAAATAAAATTTGATGGGATTTAATAAAATTACAGCCCTCTTTATACAAAGTCACATTCAAGTGAACAGACTATTTCTATATTCTATTAGTACATGCCCTATGGTTCTTCTTTTTTTTTTTATATTGTGTATGATTTATATGGAGGAAGATACAATAAGTTCTAGAAAGACAAAGAAAAATCATGAAAAACATATTACATAATGAAAAAGAAATACATAGATATTAATGAAAACTGGGGTATGTGGCAAGTATCAAAGCATAATGAATTTACTAACAAATGACATTCTGTACCATACATGCAATATTATGAAAGTGAATTTTGCCCACTCTATTTTAGTGAATACTATTAACCAAAAAACACGATAGAAGGTGATTTTAAATGAATTCCTAGCCAATACATACAGACAGAGAAGATGTATCAGTAAAAATGCATAACAAACAACAAAATGCAATAAATGTGAATGTATAGGTAGCCACAATATATATAGACAGGTATTTCAATGACAACTGGTACAAAGCAGACAGCAAAATAATAAGTGTAAAAGAATTTCATTATTGTGCTCATTCATATTTTTACCCAGCAAGTAACAGGTCTATGGTTCTTCTTAATTAAATATAATTGTACCAAAAGGTTAAATTCCTATTTTCTATATATATATTTTTTCCTTTGATTTCTAGAAGTCTTTCTAGGTGATATTTATTTTCAATGGCTTTTATTTTATTACTAGCAATTAACTCTTCTATTATTTTATAAACTAGTAGACTAACTGAACATGTTTAGCCTATAGTACCCTACTCTTTAAATACTTCAAAGTTTTTATTACTATTATTAATATCAGTAGTAGTATTTTTGCTACATCAATTGCCCAAATGCAACTACATGAAGCTAAATTTGAAATTGCTACTATTGGCACTTGGTAGTGCTACGTCACACCCTGATAGGTCAAAGATAGGTCTACATTTCTGTTCATCCATTTCTTTTGTCAGATGACAGCAAAGACCTTCACCTTTTAGCCAGTATTTCTAATTTCTAAGTAAGTCTAAGAAATTACTAATTTCTAAGTAATTCTAATCTTTCCAGTTAAAATTCTTTCTGGCGCCAATTAGCATATTCTATATTCTCACCTTATATAAATGGAGTAAAATTTCTCTTATCTGACCAGATCAGGATTAACTAAGTTAATTAAAAATGTAAGCTACTGGGTTTCCCTGGTGGCGCAGTGGTTGAGAGTCCGCCTGCTGAAGCGGGAGACACCGGTTCGTGTCCTGGTCCGGGAAGATCCCACATGCCGCGGAGCGGCTGGGCCCGTGAGCCATGGCCACTAGGCCTGCGCGTCTGGAGCCTGTGCTCCGCAACGGGAGAGGCCACAACAAGTGAGAGGCCCGCGTACCGCAAAAAAAAAAAAAAAAAAAAAAAAAGCTACTGTAGAGGATTAGAAATTACTTACCTATTTTTTCATAAAACATACACAATTCTGCTAATCTTGTAATATTCGCCAAAGATTATTTTCTTTCTGTAGAGGATTAAATATTCTACTTACCTATTTTTTCATAAAACATACACAATTCTGCTAATCTTGTGATATTCACCAAATATTATTTTCTTTAAGTGTGGATCTATTACTTAGGGTTCAGAATTGTTTTTCTTAAATAAAACATAGCTGGAACTACCCGGGTATAAGATTTGCAGTTTACTTTTTAAAATGGCATTCTAAAGATACGGGAAATGCAAACTAACTGCAACATTCGCACAGAGTCTTATTATTTCTTTTCCAGTCATCTACTGCTTTCTCATCCATATAGCATCAGACAGGAAATTTTAACTGATTAACCTTCATGAAGTCTTTCCAAAGTATCTATTTTGGATTTTTGTATTTTTAAAAACACTATTAGCATTCACATTTCATCATTATTATTATATATTATTAAAGTGAATTTCTTGATTATAATATCAAACATAAAAGGCACAAACAGATTTGTGAATACACAAAACAGATTCATGGTAAGTAAAGAATATGCAAACACCTTTACTAATTTGGGCCTCCTGGAAAACAGCCTACTGGTCTTGAAACTTCAGTATGCTGTGGGTATCTATCAATATTTATTCACAGAGAATGAAAAGTGTCTGTAGCGACCTCCCTGGTGACACAGTGGTTCAGACTCTGAGCTCCCAATGCAGGGAGCCCGGGTTCAATCCCTGGTCAGGGAATTAGATCCCATATGCATGCCGCAACTAAGGAGCACGCCTGCCACAACTAAGACCCGGTGCAACCAAATAAGTAAATAAAATATGAAAAACCAAATAGATTAAAAAAAAAGTGTTTGTAAATCCAGGAAGTCAGTTATATGGAGATCAAGAAAGGTTTTACTCTTACTCTGTGTGTGACACTATTCTAGACAAAATTATACTTTTTATGACATTAGTATTAATATAGTCATTTTACTTCTAGCTAAGATGATAAATATATTTTCTTAAAAATAAGAACCACTTACTGAGTATCTACTAAGTTTTAGCCACCGTTTCTTAAATCCTCACAGTAACTTTAAAAGTTTGTTATCCCAGGAGTTCCCTGGTGGCCTAGTGGTTAGGATTCTGGGCTTTCTCTGCTGGGGCCTGGATTCAATCCCTGGTCGGGGAACTGAGATCTCACAAGCCGCATGGCACGGACATAAATAAATAAATAAATAGAAGTTTGTTATCCATATTTCACAGATGATAATTCTGAGGCTTAGAGAAGTGTTTTTTTTTTTTCCCCCAAGGTTACTACTGATTTATTTCCCTTTTCCTTTGGAAAGGGTAGTACTGTGCTGCAGCCAACCCTGAAGGGTCCTAACACTAAAAAAGCCCTATGGGGAAAAATGTTATAACAAATCACTACTTCATAATAACAAAGTTTAAAATTAAATTTTAAGTAATGGATATTGCTTATATATAATCAAGAGATATTAGTGTGGAAAGAACACAGGTTTCAGAGCAAGTAGTTCTCAATCCTGGTGGTATCAGAATTCTGGCTCTACTGCAGATTTACTAAACCCAAATTGCTGGAGAAGAAGCTTGAGTGGGTATTCTGTTGTGGTTGTTGTGTCCACTGTTATTGTTTAGGTGCCACAGGAACATCTGAGGCACAGCGAGAATTAAGACACCTACTTTCAAGACAATGCCAGCTCCGTAATTAGTTGCTGGGATCTGTGGAGAATTATTACACCACTCAAATTTCTCTATAAAATGCTATCTAGTCTAGCTTGCAGAATGGTGGTGAGAATTAAAACTGCAGACTAACCAGATGGTGGCTATCATCGTTATTTAACACAATGCATTCACTACCTTAACAAGAATTAAAGTTATCTTACAGTGGACAAATCGTAATGTAAGAATGTCAACTCAATGTATTAGATCACAAAAAACCATGTCATGGATGCAAATATTCATATCCTTTCCTACCTATAATGATTATTGCATATATGGTTCTCCTAATATTTGGCATTACTAAGTATTAACGGTTTTATTAAAAAATGGTCACTCACTACAACAAAGGTCTTCTTGGAAAATTCACATTTATTGTGGCTATGTTCCAAACTACATGAGAAAACAAAGCATCTGAAATGAAAATGAAGAAAAACCAAAAGGAAAGATTACATATAAACAATCTGCAAAGATATTTTTTATATGTAGAAATATTCACTTATTGATCTGACATCTGCCCTTTTAATCCACTGTAAGGCGCAAATCCAAATTATAGGCTACACTGAATATTTCTTGGTGTCAATTTATCTTACTTTCTAATTCTGAACTCCAATGTATCCTTTTAAAAATGTTGCAATCTTCCTATCTTAGATACCTTTAGTCTCAATTTTTCTACTGCTCACCTATCAAGAGCTTTGATGTCTACCTAACCAACCAGTCCTCTTTGTTTCTGGAGTAAACCAGCAGTTTATCTGACCCATAACACAGGCCAGACACTTCCTGCACTGCTACACTCATGGTTTTTGTCCAGATAAGCACCATTAG